CAAGAAAAAAATCTGAGAGTCAAAACGCGTTTTCCCCGAGATGTTTTCATCAAGAAAAAAATCTGAGAGTCAAAACGCGTTTTCCACGAGATGTTTTCATCAAGAAAAAAATCTGAGAACTTCGTGAGAAAATTTTTATTTCAACATCATCAATAAAAACTTCGTGTTAAAAAATCTTTTTTTGAGACCGGGATGGAAAAAAAACCAATTAATTTTTTATAAGGTGGTATCCAGCCATTATTTATATTTTCTTATATTTTACACGTAATAAATACCTTTATGAATTACAAGCATAATAGATAAAAATCTAAAACGTATTACAAAATATTTTTCAATTAAAAAACATAATATCTTAAGATTACATCAATATTAAAGGTTAAAAACTTTTCAAAATGCTAGTATATTATTGTAGCTTGTGCCTGAACCGAAAAGTTTAAAATAAAATTAAACAATCAAAAATAACAGATTTAATACAGACATTAAAAACATTATTAATGAACATATCCTGAAAATTTGAAGTTTAAATAATGTTTTTTTATTGAGATATCAATATCATTGATATTTCAATAAGAAAAATAACGTAACGTTTAAATACCCGTAACGTTTGGAATAATGTTATATGAAAATAAAAACGAAATGTGTTTTTTTAGCAGTTTATTTCAATAACCACATCATTAAGCTTTAAATTGATGCATTTAAGAAAAAAATTAAACAGGTTTTGAAAATGTTATTACACAAAAATTACACTTAGTGAAAAAAAACGGTTTTGACCCCATTGTGAGGCACAACCGCACCCTCAAAAAAATCGATGGGGCTACACCTTTCATGGTACATTTTTTTTACAATTTTCACAGCTCAGAATATTTGATAATTTTGTTGCATGTTTGCATATTGTGCAGACATTCTTTGTCTTTACATTTTGAGTTCTGCCCCAGAAGAGAGTTCTACACCAGAAGAGAGTTTTTAGAAAGAATTCAGTTTCATAGATTAATTATTAGATTATGGTATTATCAAAAATGCTTAATTCTCAAAAAGAAGGTCAGGAAAAATATGATGTAAATATAATATTTTTATCAAAATAAAAATTATTATTCACAACTTCTCAGAAACTTAACAGTCACTCTTTTCAACATATGCAAAATGAAGGAAACTGTTTTACTAACGCGTGGTATGTTTTTTGCCATATTAGATAAGATTTTTTGAAGAGAAATGTTAAAAAACGGTTGTGCCTCCATATGCGGTTATGCCCTCACTTCCCCTACTCATAAAAAAAAAAATTGAGAAAAATTTAAAATTATAAATCATGTACACCACTAAGATAAACCACAGATATAGCACGTGATAACCACGTGTTTGAAAAAATTATTAATATTCTAAAATTATTTTGGAAAAATATTTTTACTATTTAATTCTACTTTTCAATTGTTAAAATACCATTTTTTTAAATTTTTAATTTTTTTTTTTTTCATTTTTCACCAAAATAATGGCTGAATACCACCTTGATGTTTAGAATTTGTTGCATTTAAACCAATTGGATATACTATTAAATTCACTTTACATTCTATAGAGGAGTCTATAAATTTCATACACATGATACACATAAAATTCGAAGTTTTTCTTAAGATTTTTTATATAAATCAAGAACAACGGTGGTCTCAAAATGCAACATTGTGGAACGCCACATAAAATATTTAGAAACTCATTTGAATAATCATTGTTTCTGAATCATATTGTTTAGGGTTAGGTAAACAACTACTGAACCTTTTCATAACTTTGCAGTTTATTCTATAATATTTTATCTTTTTCAGCCAAATTTCATGATTGACACTACCAAATGCATTTGATGTTTTGATAAATACCTAATCTATATTTAGATTTTTAAAAATAATTAGAGATCTCTTGACTAGTTGCATTTTTAATGGAACTATTATTTTAAAGACAAATTGGTAGTTGTAAAGAAATATTTAAATGAAGATATTGTACAACTTTAATATATTGTACATAATATGTTTTAGTTTTTTTTGAGAATGTAGAGAGGACAGAGATAAGACAATAATTACTGATATTTGTTTGGTTACCTTCTTTTAAATTTAGGTTAACTTTAGCAACTTTTAATTTTTCACAAAAAACTCATAGATAGATGCTCCATTAACTTTAAAAAGGATATCTTCAAAACATTCTATATTACCGTTTATGTCATCTGCTTTAATTGATTTATTTTTTCATAGATTTGATCTATGAGTCTCGAGTATTACTTTTTTTCTCAAGTTTTTACAAACTTTTTCAAAAAGTTATTTGTATATTTGTGTGTGTGTGTGTATATATATATATATATATATATATATATATATATATATATATATATATATATATATATATATATATATATATATATATATATATATATATATATATATATATATATATACAGTGCTTTTTTTCTAGAAAAAAAGGTGGCGAAACTCTACCTTTTTATTCGTCAAAAATGAAGCAATAAACCTTTCCCACAAGTTATCAAATGCGCAATGCATTGTGGTAGTTGTATTCATTTAAATCTAAACAATCCAAATAAAGTTTTTTATTAAGTAGATATTACGACAGTAATGACTTGTTCCCGAGCTGTCGTTCGACATTTAAAGCTGTTTTTCGTGAACTTTAACATGATGAACTTGTTGCTTTCAATAAAGAGAAATCTATAAACAGCAGTAATTCAACTTGAACAAGAGACATTTATTTTAGCCAAATGTATAACTCACAATTTTATCTAGGATTATCTTGTCAAGGGGACTATATATATATAGATAGATATATATAGATAAAAAGAGCTGAAATATATATAAGATAATATATAAATATAAATATAAATATATATATATATATATATATATATATATATAAATATAAATATATATATATATATATATATATATATATATATATACATATATATATATATATATATATATATATATATATATATGTATATATATATATATATATATATATATATATACACATATATATATATATATATATATATATGTATATATATATATATATATATATATATACATATATATATATATATATATATATATATATATATATATATATATATATATATATATATATATATATATATATATATATATATATATATATATATATATATATATATATATATATATATATAGAGAGAGAGAGAGAGAGAGAGAGAGAGAGAGAGATAAGAAGACTCGAAAAGCATCAAACTCTTGGCTATTGCCTATTTAAAGAATATTTTGTAAAAATGTAAAAGCATAAACTTGTTTATTACAAAATGTAGTATTGCAGAGTCTGTGAAACGTAAAAAAAAGTTTTTACACACTTATGCCAGTCTACTGATAAAGTAATTTAAGCTAAATGCAATTGAAAAGCTGATGTAGGAGGCTGTTGTAAGCATGTTGCTACATCATTATACCAATTAGTTGACTATACGGAATCTTGCATTAAACTGTTTCCAGTAAAACACGTATAGACATTTTACAGATATAGCATGTTTCAGATGAATCAACCAATTCTGAAGCAATTTTATTTTCAAACTTAAATTTTAAAAAATTGACGCTTACAAATATAATGCTCGAAAAAGACCTTTAGTTTTAACTCGTAAATATTGTTTTGCAATATTTTATGCAGATCTAAATATGTTTGCTTTTAAAGTCTCTTTTTTAACTTTTTCTATTAATTTTAATGCAGCTTAAAGTCCCCATTTTTTGTGCCCATATATTTTTATACGTAACGAACTTAACTGTTACTTTCTATTTTCGCCATAGTAAGAAACTTTATAATCGTATCATTCTTTAGATACTTTTAATTCCGATCTTAGCTTCTAAACCAAGTGATTTCACTTTTTAACAGGTTGTGCAGCCAAGCCTTGTTGAAAACAGAGCCACTTGTTTTTGGAACAAAACTCTATTTTATGGTCTAATGTCTAGCAACTTGGCCAGCTGTAGTTAGTGTCTGCAGAAGATACTGTCTGCAGAAAGTAAATCTGACGTTGTAATTTTAATTTCTTGTGTTTCTTTTGCACTTAATTAGATTTTTTAATGAACCAAGAAGATACTGGTCACCTTTTTTCATTACTAGTTTTTTGTTATTTTGTTTAAATGATATTTTTATATTACTGTCGCAAATAGCGTAAAGTTTGTGTTCATAAAAATCAGACATTGCACAGAAACAATAAAATTTCATAGAAACGCAAATGGTTGTGGAATTGATATTCGGACAAAAAATAATTTAGCATCATAAAAACGAAAAAAAAATATACATATATATATATATATATATATATATATATATATATATATATATATATATATATTTATGAAAAAATATATATATAAATATATATATATATATATATATATATATATATATATACATATATATATATATATATATATATATATATATATATATATATATATATATATATATATATATATATATATATATATATATATATATATATATATATATATATATATATATATATATATATATATATATATATATATATATATATATATATATATATATATATATATATATATATATATGCAACTTTTTTTTAGTTTTTATAAAAAATTAAATAAATCTTTAATAAACTTGCAAATCATTTTTTTAATTATCAATTTTTTGTTAAAAGTTCGTCTTTTAACAAAAAACAGAAAAGAACATGAAAAACTTCTTTATCTGACAACACTAAAAAATTAAGTTTAAGTTTAAGTAAAAAATGTCTTTCAAAGCTTTTTTTTAAAATATTAAGTGTTGAAGATTAATTTTTTGGCTTTCTAGAAAAGTTTTTTTGTAAAATAGCATAATATCAGTTACCCCTCCTTCTTTCTTTTTGTGGGACTGTTTTAATAAAGAAGGAAATAAGAGAAAATATATTCTGGAATTTTTTTAGATAGTTTAAAATATTTTTTTTTTAAATGATCTGGATCGACTAAAATACTTACATTCAAGGTTTCTCCTCTAGGCAAAAAGGGCTACTCTTTTTCTTTTTTTTTTATTTGTATTGTAACCCTCTTTCAATGTCCGATAACTCCTAAAAATGAATGTTAATATATTACAATATATAATCTGCAATATATTACGGAAAAAACATTTTTTGATTTCCTACACACTTTAAAAAAATATTTTTCATAGGAATCCTAATAATTTCTATGTTGAAAATTTCAACAAATTTTTTTGTATCACATTTGGACCACTTTATCAGTCTTTTTTATGAACCTAAAGTTTATTTTTAGGCCATTTTTATAATCTTTTCTTTCACTTGACCAGAACTTTTCACCAAATGAATTGTCCACAAAATTTGTTTTAATTTGTTACGTCATCAATTTATTTGCGTAGTACTGTGTATGTAATAACACTCTTATTTTGAGGCGCAGGTCCTGCTGCCTCGTCCTTCTGCCATGTTCTGCTGCCTTGAAGAGTACGCTTTTTTAGACAAAGGCTAGGAGATGCCAACTCCGACTTTAAACACCCCCTGCCTTGGGGCTCTTGGTTGAGTAAAAGCTAGAGATGGTGTATCGATAAAAATACTTATTTTAGACAGATGTTAAATGCATCCGGCAACTGTCTTGTAGAAGGCCTCCTAGGCAAAATTCTAAGAGGAAAACAGATTCTATTTGTTGACCAGCCTTGCACCCCTCCCTCATCTATTAGGTTAACACAGATGTATTTTTAATACATTGTTTCCAGTTTAGGATGTTAAATGCTGGATCTTCGTGACTCAATGTATGAGTTTTGTTTGTGTCTTTGTTTTTATGATTAGGCAACTCATTCTATTATCTTCTAATGAGGGTACAGCTCTAAAACTCAGTTTTATGGTTCTGAGACTGACTGGTAGTCAGGTTTCCGAACTCTGTGGTAGCTCTCATCAAGGCTGAATTCATCAACAGCTGAAAAATATCAAAGTATTATCAGTGGTATGTTGCGCATCGATGGTGTCCCTGTTTGTTCTTTTGGTGTACATTGTCAAGGCCACATTTGGAGTCATTTGTTACGGCTTAGGGTTTATTAATAGTAATGAGGAAATGCTTGGGCTATTAAACAGTGTACTGAGTATTATCTATGCATCGAGTTAAGTTCTTTAACTAATTTAAAAATGAATAAAGTACCAAAAACTATAAAACCTAAAAAACCATCGTCATCACTAAGTTCTCTATAACTTTCATTCACTAATATTCGTGGTCTTCGAAGTAACTTTTCTTCTGTTGAGAATTATCTCTTGCAAAATTCACCAGACTTACTTGCTCTTTGTGAGACTAATTTGAGTTCAGCAAATTGACCAAGCCCTCTCATTTTATCCATCAGCCACTATTGTTGTTGTTGGTGACTTTAATGCTCATCCTACTGAATAACTTGGCTCAAGTGTCAGTGACTCTGCTGGCGTTAAAGCCCACAACTTTTGCTTTTCTCAATCGCTAACTCAAATAGTCAACTTTACAACTCTCTTTCCAGACAGCCCGAATCATTTATATCCTTTACTCGACTTATATCTTGTTTCTGATCCTAGTCAGTGCTCAGTTTCTCCACATTCACCATTAGGTGTTTCTGATCATGGTTTGATCTCTCTAAAACCATTATCTCATTCTTCTTCATCATCTTAATCCCCCTATCATCGTACCTCTTACAACTACCTTAAAGCTGAGTGGGACTCTTTCCGTGATTTTCTTCGTGATGGCCCTTGGGTAAAAATCTTTCGTCTTCCTGCTGACAAATTTGTTTTTTACATATCTTAGTGGATTCAGGCTCGCATGGAATCTTTTATTACCTCTCGACAATTCCAGGTCAAGCCTCACTCTTCTCCATGGTTTTTCTCATATTGTGCTGCTGCAAGTACCAATCAAATCTGTTACTTCCATATCTATCAGCAAAACGATTCTCCAGAAAACAGACGTCTGTTTATTAATGCAATGAACCATTGTAAAAAGGTTTTGTCTAACGCCAAAACCTGTTAATCTCTAGTAATGATATTGCGTGTTTCATCACAAAAATTAGGTTCTCGTAACTTCCGAAGAATCTTTAACAGCTTAATAATATAATAATGGCAACTCTGTAGTTCCACTTCTTTTGTATGGTTCAGACTTTGTCACCTCACCTAAAGACAAAGCTGAATTATTTGCTAAGAACTTTTCATCAACATCATCTCTTGATTCCACTAGTTGTGTTCTACCTGATTTAATCATCAAACAGGTTAATTCATTGCTTGACATTTGTATCAATTTCCTGCTTAGACTCTTCTTCAGCTTGTGGCCCGCACAACATACCTGTTATAGTCTTGCAGAAGTGTTCTCCGGAGCTGTCGTCTATCCTTTCAAAACTATTCAACAAGCACTTATCAGAGTCTTGTTTTCCAGCCTGCTGGAAAGTAGCATTTGTTATCCCTATTTTTAAAATTTTGAAGAGCGATCTGATTCGTCGATCTACCGTCCCATTAGTCTTCTTCCTGTCATAAGCAAGGTTTTTAAATTTTTAATTAACAAGCACTTATTCTCTCATCTTGAATCTAATACATTACTTTTTGATCATCAATATGGATTTTGATCTTCTCGTTCTACAGCTGATTTGCTAACAGTATTAATCGATAGGTTTTATCGTGCATTAGATAAAGGTAGAGAGGTTAAGATTATCACTCTTGACATTTCTAAAGCATTTGATAAAGTTTGGCATGCTGGTCTTCTCCATAAGCTTTCTTTTTACGGTGTAGCTGGAAACATCTTTAAGATTATTGAATCCTTCCTTTCCAATCGTAGTATAAAAGTTGTCTTTGATGGACAGCACTCTTCTTCTTATTCTGTAATCTCAGGGATTCCTCAAGGTTCAATCCTTAGCCCTATACTCCCTTTAATTTACATTAACAATCTTTCAGATATTCTCACCTCTAAGGTGGCATTGTTCACTGATGATACTACCATTTATTCTTGTATAAGAAGCCAACTCTCTCTGATTGCTTGGAGGGCATTTGAGCTTAAAAAAGATCTCAATTCTCCTACAGCATGGGGATCACAGTGGCTAGTTAACGGTAGAATTTTCTGCTTTTTGTTTTAGAGTGTAAATAAGTTATTCCCAACTATTTTTTTGATAGTATATAAAAGATAACAATACTTTTTGCCTCAACCCTTCAAGTTAACTGGTTTCACGTGGTCTTGTGGAAAAAAAGTATCATTACAGAAAAGTTGCTGAACAAGAAAGAATCAATAAAAAAATAAGAACAATCAAATATTTTGAGATGCTCTAACAACACTTTAATGGAAACTGATGAAATTTGTCTTGATTATGATGTAATTGAACTTGGATGTATATTGAAAGCAACGTTTTCACAATAGAACCTTGAAAACTGGGGACAATTGTATTTATACCATTCAATATTATGAAATCAACTAAATTTATTAAAATGCTTTAATGTTAAACTATCGAAAAGTCTAAGTTCAAATTTTGCCCAGTTCTTGATTATAACTCATTTAGTAATAAATTATTGTTAATAAAAATATTTATTTTTCCCAGTCTACTTAGTGGTTCTAGTTTTTCTACTGTTCTCTCATTCAATTAATAGATAAAATATACTGTTATTATTCATCTTCATTTTGTACAGAGTTCACGAAGTTACACTAATTAAAACATAGTTTTGGATCAACAGTTAACCAAATACAGTTTTTAACTAAGTTGGGTAAAATCTTGAACTGTTCAATCTTTGAAATAATGTATAGTTGAAAACATTTTATTACACTTTTTTATGCACTATGAAGTGATATATGGAAGTTTAATTTTAATTGTAACACAATGTCACAAATGTGTAACGATTTTTTGTAATTATAATTTTTGAAGTTTTTAACTTATTCTTTTAACGAAGAAGCTGGTTAAGGGAGTTTTATTTACTCTTATTTCCGATATTTAATATTTTTAAACGTTTTTAAAGTTTTTATTCAAAATTGAAACCAAATATCTACTCAATAAAAACAATAAAACAAGTTAATTGATTCATTTTTTATTGATACTATTAATATTAATTTGGTATTGACATTATCTTTATTTTAATATTATTGTAGTGTTGTTATCATTATTTAATGTTTTAAATTCACTTCATGGCATAGTGAACGTTTATTTTTGTACAAAATGTATTTTAATTTAAAGTTTAGTCAAGCTCAAATTTTAAAATTTTCGTAAGCTTCACAAAAACGCATGATCATACGTTGCTTTGCCTTATCACATATTGTCACGTGGTCATCATGCAATGGTCATGTCATCAATCAATCAACTATGAAAATGATTTTATATTTCAGTAACAAGCTAAAAATCATTTAAAAGTTTATACTTCAATTTATTGAAAGGTGAACAGGTGCAACGTGTGATTGTACATTTTTTACAAGAAAAATGTATAATTAAACTATGCTTCACTATTTGAGAAGGAAACAAATCAAAAATTTGCGGATATTGATTTTGAGAAGGAAACAAATCAAAAGTTTGTGGATATTGATTTTGAGAAGGAAACAAATCAAAAGTTTGTGGATATTGATTTTGAGAAGGAAACAAATCAAAAATTTGTGGATATTGATTTTTTAGGGCAATAAATATACAATACTATGTATTGTATATTATATAAATGTAAAATTAAGCATCTTTATGAAGGAAATATTTAGGTTGCATATTAATAAAACAAAAAAACAAAAGCGCCAAGTAGTTTTCTTGTTTATAAATCCTTAGTCTGCTAGAAGATAGAAAAATCTAAAGTAAAAAAGTATAAAAATAACCTTAAGGAATGCGTTTTACTTGTCGCACTCTAGACTTATTGATATTTTTTTACGCCATTTTGAAGATATAAATTTTTGCTTTTCAATATAATGAAAATACAGTAAAATTTTACCATTTCAATTACAATTTTTAAGAACTAAACAAAATTTACAGAATTACTAAGGAGTTAAAAATTACTAAATATTAGCTAACAAAAATGACTAATAAAAAATTACTAACGCAGAATTGATGCAATTTCATGTAATCAATTGCAATTAAGAAAAAGGTTAT